CTGAGCCCTTGGGAATAACGCCCTGTGTGCCTGGATCATGTACAGCCCCCTGCGACTGTTCCCCAGGGAGCTGTGGGTCCTGCATTAACCTAGACACACTCTTCCACTCTGCAGCATTCAAAACCATGTGTGTTACAGGAAGCAACCAGAGTATTAGAAATGCAAAGTAAAAGAAAACCCAGATTCCATTTTTCACCTAGCAAATTAGCAGAGACCAAAAGGTTGGGGAGCAGGCACTTTTATACGTTGCTGGGGGTAGTGTAAACTATAAACTAGCCCAATGCGAGCACAACTTAGCAATATCTCCCAAGATTCCCTTTGACCTGGTCATTCTGCTTCTAGGACTGCATCTGACAAATGTCCTTGCACACGGGCAAAATGATGTAGGTGAAGGGGAGGTTACTCATCGCAGCATTGTTTATAAGCAAAAAACTGGAAACTATGTAAATGTTCATAAACAGAAGATTGGTTAAGTAAATTATGACCCATTCATACAATGGAAACTACGATATTCAGCCATTAATGGGAATGAGGAAGCCTTTTATGTGTACACAAGAATGATCTCCAAGAATAGTTAAATAGAAAAGGGAGGCAGCAAATCTGAATGGTAACTACATTTATGCAAAGGGAAGGGGAGCATACATATGCATCTGGTCCCAGCAGATGGAACAAGGGGGGACACGTGGCTGTCGTAGCAAGGGAAACAGCTTTGTCTTTTACCCCCACTGCCTGTGTAGACACTTTCTGCGGGTGGGGTCTTCTTGTCCCTTGGTTAAAACCTGGAGCAGGTCCCATCACTCTACTGGACAAGCTCCGATTAAAAAAAAAAAGTTTCCAATCACTAAGTCGTGAAACAGTTCCAGTACTTTGACAGCGTAAGAGTCACAACTTCAGACTACTCAAAGATTTTCACTCCCCAGGCCTAGGCCTGCTCCACATGTAAAGACATCTTTGCTTCTCTCCCCTCCCTCCCTTCCTTTCTCCCTCCATTGATCGCTGTTCCATTTATCTCTGTTGAGCACCTACTGTTCTAGTCCTGGGGATATAGCAGTGGCCAATCAGGCCTGGGTTGTGGGCTCCATCCCTAGTGGGGATGTGCAGGAGGCAGCCGATCAATGATTCTCTCTCATCATTGATGTTTCTATTGCTCTCTCTCTCTCTCTTCCTCTCTGAAATCAATGAAAATGCATTTTAAAAAAATATAAAATTAAGTCCAGTACAAAGCCGGTATTCCAAAAATGGAAGCTGAATCCAAGTAACCTTCCAAGTTTTAATTTTTTATTCACTGTGATAGAATATATTCCATCTTAGAGCATACAATCTCCATAATGTCCTTACTTGTTTTCATTTTCTATACTCTACCTTTTCTAAATAATTAGATTTTCTATGACACTTTTCCTATCCCTGTGAGTAATGGAGATTTAACAAATTTCTATGGCTTTGTCTAAACCTATTGAAGTAGAGACCTGTTTTATCCTATCATATTATAATTATATACATTTTATTATAGTAAATAAATATACATTCCTCCAGTACATTGCAGTTGACAAAGAATCTTCCTATCCTCTTAACAACCCAGTCAGGTTGGTATTATCTCCAGTGTTTTTAATCCTCCCCTGAGGATATGTTTTTAAAAATTGATTTTCAGAGAGAGAGAGAAGAGAGAAATATTGATTGGCTGCCTTCTGTATGCACCCTAACCAGGGAACAAACCTGCAACCCAGATATGTGCCTGGACTGTGAATGGAACCCGCAGCCTTTCCTCGTAGGGAGAACGCTGGAACCAACTGAGCCACCGGGCCAGGGCAGTATTATCTCCATTTTACAGGTAATAAAACTGAGGCCCAGAGAGAACAAGGAGACTTGCCCAAGGTCACTGGCGAGTTAGGGGTAGGGCAAGGACTTGGATCCTTCAGGCTGTGTCTCCCCGCTCTGCCTGGTCCAAGTCTTTGCACACCTGAGGACTGCTCAGTGGCTGCCAGTGAATGAGACATTTCCTGAGGGCCTACTCTGTGTAGGGACCCCTCGCCCTTCAGGTGCTCCCACTCCTGGGAGAGGTACACTTACACTGGGGAGTATTTTGTGGCTGTTTTAATACGGCTCCAACAAAGTGGCTGGGGTCGGGCAGATCTGGAGACGCTGCCCGGACAGAGCTTTAGGGGGGCACTTGAATAAGGCAGGGTGCAGAGGTGGGGTGCAGCCCCCCAGGCACAGATGAGGGTGGGGAAGGCCAGGCCATCTCAAGCAGAAGTCGTTTAGGAGGGTGGGGAGTGTGGGCTACTAGCAGGGAACCGGTCCTGCTCCTGCTGCAGCTGGCTCCCTCCGGACCAAGCCAACGGGCCCGGACTCCGGAGCTGGTGGTTCAGGCCGCGGGCGGTGGGGGCCGCTCGACTGCAGCCTCCCCGGGGCCGCCGCGCTGAGCCCTGGGACTCGGACCTCCGTTTCCCCATCTGCACAGGGACCGCAGGAACTCTGACTCCATCGTGGGTGCGGGTGACCCTGCCCCCTCCGCCGGCAGCTAGTGGCCGCGGGGCGGGGCGGGCGGGGCGGGGGGAGAGG